TTCAAATAATAATTTAACTTCGCCATTTGTAAGCCAGCTCGAGATCCATAGTTTCCGTTTACAGGCAAATTAAAACCCACATTTATCCACTGCCGGGATAAGTCCTAGCTACAGATTTACCTGCAGCTTATCCTAGACGTGGCTTATCTGCTTGCAGGGTTTAGCTGCTAGCGTCGCACCTCTGAAGTCTGAATACGTCATTTCTAGAGTACCTTATAGTCAAGGCTATGACAAAAATGGTCCTTACTTCTTTTACCTTAAAGGTCTTTTGTGTTATTGTTTAAAGTATTTTGATAAGATACGTTCACTTTTGACTTGCAAGCGTAATATGATAGCAATTAAGCGGTAGTTTTTTTTAATAACTAGATCAAATTTTAGTTTTTACACTTGCAAAAGACGATGAAACTTGGTGTGAGGTATTAATCAATTTAGTCAGTTGGAATAAAATGGCGATTTTAACAATTCTACAATAGCCGTTTGTGTTGGTAGGCTCACAATTGTGGTCGCGGGTGGACTGATTTATTTGACAGCCTATATAAAATGCTTCGTTTTTATCTTCGTATGAATCTTATTATTATGCTAATGTACCATTTACGAGCCAGCAAAAGAACCCTATTGAAGGATTACATTTTATAGCACAATGTTATGGAAACCAACCACTTCTGTGTCTATATACGTCCCTATGTAATGAAAATGTTTTAGAATAAAATTCTTAATATAAGGTATGAATGTCTAAGGAAAATCTCAGACTTTTGTAAAACTTCACTTATTTAGCAAAACAACAAACAACAACAAACACTTTTATTTAAAATTAACGATGTTACAAAATAATAGGAAGCTCGCTGCGGTGGTGTCGAAAACAAATTATTCAAAAATTTTACGTCAAAATTGAGTCGAGTATAAAAAATTAATTAGCGTGAACAACAACACAAATCTTAACAAGACTGCGGCACGTCTAAGTAATTAGCAGAAAGTGGCGAGACCAGAGACATAAATCATCGCGCCGGAGATATGTGCACGCCGGGCGCGGCGCGGCGCGGGGCGGCGCGGCGTGCGGGCTGCGGGTACTTTTATCAAATTTACATTAAACTTCAAACGAAACCCAAGGAAATAAAGTCAGGCTAAGCAAACGCCAGCTTCCAAAACTCACATGTTCGAAACAGAAATAGTTTACAGCTAAAGCCATTGGTAACTTTTAATGTTAATCTTTAAATACGATTAAATTTTCAACGTAATCACCTAATCAGCCGTTTACGTCAACGAACTGTTATTATAGTAAACAGCACAAGATTAATAGCCTTCCTCCATCTTTCTTTTTAGCTTAAATTGGAGTGAAATGTTACAAAGCTTTTCGTAACCAAGACATCAGTGCCTCAAAATCCCTTTGTTCGCAGCAGTAGTGCGTGTGTCTTTTGTCACTATATACTGACTTTCTAATTGGTGTGTTTGTATTTACTCGGTTCGAGGATTCTCGCACGTAACAGATTCTAGTAAATTTTAATGATGTGTTGCGTCGCAGTGCGGCGGCGTGCCCCCGCCGGCGGTGGCGAGTTATGTACTCGCACTCTGCTATTACAACTGGTTGACGCCACTTTAGAATACGCCCCCGGCGATGTTTCTAAAGCAAAATAAAGATGGAGGACAGACTTCTAATGAACACAACTCACTCATCAATATTTCAGAGCAACTTATCGTAATATATAAAGTCATAAAATAATGATGATGTAAAAAACATTGACAGGTAACTCTTCTCTGTGTGTAATAATAACGAATATTTATCAATTTAACACCATTTCTGAATCATTGTTACAAAAAAGGTAGATCAAGACGGAAAGAAAATTCAATAGAATTTCAAATACTGTGAACTCCTTTAAAACAAGTCGTAGAAAATATTGATTGAAAAAAATATGTAAGTATATATAGGTATATATTAATTTGTTTTTACTATGTAAGTGAGTATTGATTATGAGTTTACGTTGGCCGCCGGGGATGCGAGGAAGTTGCTTGAAATATTAATCATCTTGTTACATAATACGCCGTGATCACTTTTACAAGTTTCCACAAGACAAAGCTCGCAGACTACCAAACTTCTTATATCTCGGAACTCGTTTGCGATGCAAAGGCCCAAAAGTGTATTTTAGTGGTGAACATTGAAGAGAGACGATCCACCCAATAATATGTTCTACTCTTTTTGTACTGGTGCGGAAATAGAAAATTATTTGAAAGCGGGAACTACGCTTCCGAACTGTAATCGTTTGAACGTTCAGCTGATGGTGGAAATGTGCTCAGTTTATTCGCTCGGTTTTTACTTAGTTAGGTTTACTAGCGTGCCGTTATCTCCACGGATACTTGTAGGAAACTACAATAGTATTTTAATGTAAGTTTTACAATTACAATTTTACTATATGAGTGCCAAATCATAATCATGATCTTTACACAAGTATCTCATAGCTTAAAACAAACGTGAGTTAGTGTTTATGTTATTACGTTTCGTATGTTATAGTTTGAGCTGATTTTGTGGGATAAGTGTGGGAGAGCCATGCAGCACGAATGGGACGGTTAACAAACCGGCGTGAAAAAATCATAGCGTTGTGTTTCGCCGTGTGATTGAGGTTACCGGAGGCCCAATCCTTCCCCTCCCCAAATCCCTTAATCTTCAAATCCCCAAAAGGTCGGAAACGCATTCGTAACTCCTCTGTTGTTGCCTATGGGTGGCGCTGATTGCTTACCATCACGTAATGCGTCTGCTCGTTTGCCGACCGATAGAAAAAAACATATTTGAAAAATCTACGTGACGAAGTTTAACTGTATGTTTATACCTGACATTGTTAAAATACTAAAAAAACTTACGCACAAGTCATAAATATCTTAATAGTTATCCAAAGATTGTCATAATTGCCTTTCCGATAGTTTTCATCAATATTTATTACGGGCCGATTAGCATATCAATCCATAGTAAAAGTTCGATTTTAATTATTCAAGAACCCACAATTACTCGGTGCTTATCGACGCGATGACGTGGCAAACTGGCAAGCTTATTATTTATTGGCCTTTAGTGGCATCGCCCGGAGACCGCCGGCTTGCTGTTGACGACAGAATATTTTGAACGATGCTGACCGTATTTTCACGCTGCTAACTTGATTACCAATAGTTTGCGTTGTCGTTCATATTGTGCTATATTGCTCGTGTCCATAACGTTTTACACAATAAAAATGAATTAAATTCTCCAGCGTTTTTGACGCAAACATTGCGGCGCGGCGGCCGAACTGCGGAGTTTCGAATTTTTATTCACATGTCGTTTGAATACGTTAGATATTTATCACTCGTATCGTGTAACATTGCATTGGTTCATCAATGTAGTATGAATAGGGAATACTCAAACAAGAGTGGTTATATATGCTGCTCAGTGAAAAAACCATTGAAGTTCGTTCAATAAGCTTCATGAAAATGTTAAGTACGCCAACAAGTCGTAGGTTTGCGCACTGCGACGCAACATACCATTAAAATTTACCAAAACCTCCGCCTGCCGGAACGAAACAATCCACGTACACACATTCGTATTTGCTTTACTATTTATGTACGAACGATATCGCTTTGTGCTATGACGTCACAATGTGAACAGTGCTGTATAAATAGGTCGTATTAACTTGTTATATTGCCCTCACGGGCCGCCCCGTGATGAGCCTATTTCTGCACCCATTATGTATGCTATAGTTACGCTACTGCCCGATTGCATCGAGTTTTCATTTTATTTTTAGTTCGTTAGGTAACTTCTGAACCAAGTTCGGTCGAGTTTCTTTCGAAGCTCGTAATTTGGACCGGAACTCTCAGAAAGTGGGCGCCTCAATGAACAAATCGTGCCGGCCAGTTTATAAAAAGAATAGGGACGCAACAATGGCCTCATTCGATTTACGCTTTATTCATTTTATTCGTAACGCAAGATGGTTCCCTTTTATTGTTTCCCCATTTTTGAGTGGTTGGCCCTTTGGATTGCGGTGGATCGAACTCGTCATAAAACTCAATGTTATCTCATATCTTCTTAATTGGTTACAAACAATGGTGCTTAAGCGCAGTATCGGTCGGCGAGGCGGAGTGTTTGTCTTGGAATAAACAATTACAATAGTGCGCATAGGCTACATTGTTGTATTGAGATAGATAACATAATGACATTGAATTAAACTTAATGCTGGCACAATATCTCCGCCTAATGGACAGTTGTCAGTGAGACATAATACGTCCTTAGACTAGCAGAGTGTGATCAGTTTACAAAGGACTGCGATATAATGTGATACGATACGATTGTCATTTGTTGCTCGTATTGTTGTATCGCTACAGATAACAATGCGTTTTGAATTTAATGACCGTAACTTTAGCATTCTATAAATATCAAACAGATTTGCTGGTACGAATTCTTCTTATGAGCTTGTAGATTAAAATGACTTGAAAAATTTACTGCAGATTTATGTTGTTATGTTTATTTATAATTTATTGCAGTCATAGACTAAACAGAAACACGATAGATACAATAATCAGTCTAAGATATATTTCATTAAAGAATTCTCTCAGCTTAAATATTTATCGAATCAATAGCTTTGTTAAATGCCAGCGTGTAGGAACACATGTAAACACGTATGTATGTGTGCAGCTGGTTAGTCAGTGCTGTCACGCGAATTACTCTGCGGGTGTTACGCTGATCAGAAATACGAAAATTGGTTTCGATTTATGGTACCGTAGCAAGACTTCAGTTGTTTCGAAATATCTGTACAAGTTTATACACATGAGTACATTCAGTCTGCCTTAATATTAAGCTGTAGCGGTAAAACTTTAAGGTTAAAGCATAGCTAAGGTTTAAGGAGTTAGGCTTAATTGTGTCCCACGTTGGGCGCCAAATCTCATCTTTTCACGCGAAAAGCATAAATTGAAATGTGACACTAATATTTATTGGTATATTTTAAACGTTTATAAATATGTTTTAAGGTGTATGTTTGTTTGTTATACAGAAATGATGACGTGCCGGCTGGGCTCTCGACGGCTGGGTGGCTCCCGGGGCTCGCTGCAGGCTGGCACAGCATGCTCGGCCGCCAGCGAGCTGGACCTCTCCTCGCGCTCCAGACGCGCACATAAAGCTAGGTAACAGATTAATGATTAGATATGGCTTTTCTCACATTACAACATAATTTTATTATAAAACTTGTCAGAAGAAAAACTATGACTGAATAGAATCGTCTTTAAGAGGAAACTCAGCATTTACGGAAAGACAAAAATCCACACTTTTACAGATTGAAAAGTTGTTCCTCTACTCGTGAAACACGTATCGTATATTTTAATTGATTCACACTCGTTCACGGGGTATTCAAATTATTTGAGGTGTCCAATGTCCATGCCACCGGACTTTTGATAAATTCACAACGAGAACAGATTTAACAAGCCCCCATGATGTGAATCGATTCGATTGATTTACTAAATGCCGAGGCGGACACCGGCAGTGGAACCTCTATCATCCTGTCCATTATTCTAAAAGTTATCGATTTGTAAGGTAATAAGGTATCGAATTTTACGCAACATAAACTCAAGTTCGTTAAGATAAAACGAAATTTAAAGGCAAAAACGAAATTGAGTCACCTTGTTTCTAATTAAAGTACCTTTTTACAAGCATCAGAGACGCTATTTCAATAAATATACCTCGAAAAATTCTTTGATAAGATCTCGCTTCGGGAAACGGGCCTAGCAAAAACAACTTAATTTTTTTTTATATCGGCAATACCCCGTTGGACTTCTTTGTTGCTAGATATGATAAAATATTTTTTGTAATATTTGTATATTAGTGCAAAATATGTATTGTAATTTATTTAAAAAGACTTTAATTTTTAAATAAACGTGCGTAAATTGTACTAAACTGAATGTCGAAAATCGAACTTTTTGCGTTCAGCATTTTTCACATCAGAGAGTCATATTACTTGATATCCCCCCAAACTGGATCTGTCAAACCGCCACGAGCGATAAAGGGGATCTATCGCGATCATAACACTTCCAGCCTCTATGTGTTATGGAGCCATTCTTTAAACGTCTCTATCGTATCGAGAATTATTACGACCTTGATTCCTTTCTGTTCACCTTATCGATCCTAATAACTTAATTTTCGATTGAGGGCTTTGACGCTATTATGAATAATGGCTGTGATTTATTTTATAGCTCCAATATTTGATTCGTCTCATCTCATTGTGCTTAAAGTACGAAAGGCTTTGTTACAGAAAATGTTCAGTTAATTTCAATAAGAATGGGATAAGTGTAAGATAAGCTAGGAAGGATGTGCGGAAGGAAGTGAAAACTGTGATGACGGGTGATAAGGAGGAGGAAAGAGGAAAATCTCACCAATCTTGGTGTTCCAAGTATTTGAATACATTTTCTCGGCTTTGTTGTAACATGCTTTGGGTACTTTGAGATTTTTCGAACGTATGTAGTTTAGATTTGTGACGATTGTTCCAAATAAGGTATGATTAGTGAAAATCCGATATCGAGCACATTTATATGTACTTCTGTCCATAATTTGGAAAAGACTGACGAAGTTTTCAGTATTAAACATCATCATCATAAGCTTGATGTCTCCCCAACATCAGTACTAAACACCATAAAACAAAGTCTTTATAGAAAAGATAGTGTCAAAAAACTTAAGGACATGTCCAAAATTTTTGTGATGCTGTGTAATTTCTTAATATCACGTGGTTAAACGTGCGGTGCTTCCTCCATCCTCCATTAAGGCGTCAGTGAAGAGGTTCGAGGGCTAGCCTCTTGTTTGCCCAGGAGCACGAGGGCCCTTTTCTTGAGAGCCGCTTTAATCACAAGTGTTGACTCGATGAGCCTCCGTCGTCCGTCGTCATGTGTGAAAAGACTGTTTTAAAATAACCCCGCTTCATTAAAATAACAAATAATAAACAAGTTATTTGATAGCATATTTTGTTCTGTGGTTTCAGAATACACACATTACATGGGATCGGCAACCTCTTTGTGTATTCGTTGAATGTTTTTGTCAACATATTATTGAAAGATGATTTTGTTGGTATTTTAAGGAAAAGTGTGAGGTTTGTTGTTAGTAAGGATTACAACGTGAATAATTGATCTTCATCATCAGTCTGATTTCGGTCACTGCTGGACATAGGCCTCCCCCATTCCACGCCACTCAGCTCGATGTTCACTTCTTCTCATCCAACCACTCAAATCTCAAAAAGACTGATAAGATACTGATGATTTAAGTTCTTAATTATATTGTGATAACTTCGTAAAGCTTCTCTAAGAATATATAAATAAAATACAAATAAATACTCTAAGTATAATAAATATCTAAATATCATATACTTACATAAATATGAACAAGGTATATTATAACAATACAGATCACTAATAAGATTATCTAGTAGAAGTTCCACATTATATAATTTCTTTTGGAATATCATTAACAAATTCATAAAATTTGAAAGTAAAACCTTTTTTTAATTTTAAATACTCATGATGGATGCCATTAAACAAAACAAAATAATATTATTTTTAATTTTTTTATCTAGGTCTGTTATTGTGATAAAACAATAAATAAAATCAGACAAATCTAAAATATTTTGAAACGACAGCTATGATAATGTAATATTTCATAAAAAAAGCATCAAGTTTTGGCTTTACATCACTGAATTAATATGTACCTACCTATTATAAAATAGTGATAAGAATTTATTTTAAACCAGTTTTTCGATTTTATACAAATACTTATTCAACGCTAATTCCAAAAAAAAAATATATTGATGGCCATAAAATAAAATAGAAATAAAAGCATATTTTTACTTCATTCTTATGGTTATCGAGAAGGCCTAAAGGGGTTGTTTTATTAAAAAAAAAGAATTTCTATTTAAAATGTTTCACAAATTATCGTTTAAAAAGACTAATTTAAGTTTGGAATGTCAATATTAGTTGTTTTAAATAACTCCCAATTATACATTTTATAGTTAAATTTCGAGTAATTTGCATAACCGAAATATAAAATATCACTTTTGGCGTGTTATTATAATTTTTAAGTAATAATAGAAACAAAGTAGGTTATACTTAAAGCTAGTAAATTGTCCAGTGTTTTCAGTGGTAGTTCAGGCATCTATATTACCTAATATTAGGTAATTATCTATAATTTGTTTAAGAAATACCTAAGCAACATTAATAATTTCGTTTAATTGTTTAGATTAAAATTATTGGGGGCGAGCGGGGAGGCGCCGCTCCTGAGTGGGTGGCGGAGTACCCCGCACACGCCACATGCGCCCGCGACGCCGGCGCCACATCACTCACACAACCACCTCGCGCCCGGACATTGCAATGGAACTGACAGGTATCAACAACAACTACATTATTGTCAGATGCTATTTTTTTTTTAATATTAATATGCAGTACTAGCTAATCTCGTGCGGATTCACACGCTGCTCGGCTCCGTTTGATCGTAGCGTGATGTTTTATAGCCCATAGCACTCTGGGATATTGTAGTTATCTATCAGTGAAAGAATTTTGGTAATCCGACCAGCGGTTCCAAAGATTACCCCCTACATACAAGCTTACAAACATACAAACTTACAAATTTTACCTCTTTATAATATTAGTATAGATAATTATCTATACTAATATATCATATATAATATATATCGCATATTAGATTATGCGATATTTACGATTTTATAGTTTTCTTATGAAGGCGTATAAATGCGAAAAGTAAAATATTACTATAGACTGATTGCGTGAAATTGACAAACTAGACTCCAATCAACCAACCAATCAAACACATTGTAAGTACCTATAGATCACCTTACGCTACAAAGAGAGTTTTTTAATTAGGCTCAAGTAGAAATTAAGTAAATATATTACTAAATTGTATGTCTTGTTTTTGTAAGCTTTTTTCCATACTAACTTATCAGGTGTCATCTTACTACTAATTACTTTCTCTTTGATACCATTCTTCATACAGTCTTTCAAACAAACTATAAAATAAAAATATATTTTATTTTATAGTAAAAAAAGTCTGTTCTCTACTGCATGAACTACTGCTTGAATGTTGAGACTAGCTATACCTAGTCTCAACATTCAATTTCAGAATCAGAGCTAAGGTTCGGTATAGTTTTTCATAGACACGTTTCTCCCTAGAGCAGCGAAAATCCTAAATACACACAAAGTTCTAATATGCCATATTGCCATATTGCCATCCCAGCGTAGAAACCAACTTTTATGTCCACAGAGTTTGATTTAGTACATACAAGTTACCAGCCAGTGATTTTACATAAACCACTTATACGAAATGCGCGCCATAATCATAAATTTAAAGTCGCCATTTATGTAAGTATACGGTTATTCGCCTATATGCGAGTGTCTCCTTTGTTTACATGGCTACATTGTCTGGTCAATATTCGCTTTGTCTTTGTATCACTTGGCTTGCAGTATCCAGTTTCAATATAACGAAATTGTCTGGACATTGATAGGCTAACATTGATATCAGATTTTGGTTTGCAAGACGACGCTTCTATGTTATTGTTTGTTAAGAAAGTTTATTTATTTTGGGTTAAAAAACTAGCCTGTATTTTTCGGACCATGTGGAAAATACAGTATTGTTTTTCACTAACTCATAGTTATACACATAAGGCAGGTAAAGCTATGAGAAAAACACTACTTACCGTGGTCTACCGACTACGGCGGCGCTCTAATCTGCGCAGCGAAATCGGATGAATTAAGCAAATCCAATTTGGGCTGGAAAATTCACTCTAGAAGTTAATCCCACTTTTTATTTAATGAAAGTGAATTGGGTTATTTGACAGAGTTGTTTTATTATACGAGTACGAAGTTCTCGATAGTTTTAGTAGTTGTGTGAATGAAAAAGCTTGTATTAATAAACAACTAACTAGTTAATAAGCTGCGGTCGCGTTTTCACGACAACCGGGAAAGTTAGGTAACAACATTGGTGAATGTAGTTCCCAAGTTTGGTGAGGCCACGATATCCAATTTATGTCTGCTTTCCTATTCAGAGGGATCGCACGGAGTCGTCATTCGAATGTACGTATTGTTTGAGTGCTGTGCTTGCCACAACTTCCTATTAATTAGTCTACTACTAAAAGTTCTAGCTTCGTCGTCGTTATATGCCTATAAATTATTTCCGATACCAATTTACAAAAGAAAATATTAAGTGTTTCGTCTGCCTCCGAAATTTTTGGAAAACTATGTATGTATTTATGTAAGTATGTATGTATGTATGTATGGTCGCTTTGAAACCATATCATTCACTTCTGGGTATTGACCAAGACGTTGCAATTGCCTCAAGCGCCATAGATATGAACATGTATTGACAATATCAACTTGTCTATATTGTATATGGTTGCACACATATCTTGATAAGTGGCTGTTGAGGTATTGAGTCTCTAGATGAATTGTTCTCAGCATTCAATCAGAGCCAGCTCAAGATAATGAAACTAGCATGATTGGGACCGCAATTCCGTGGTTAAGCGCTTTCGCTGGTTGTCTTCAGTACCGGGGCTTAATTGGATACCTATCGACAGATATCGTTGCGGCAAGCCCTCAGGTGGTGAACGCGATATTCAATTATTCCTCAGTCGCAATTACACGCGAGTACATAAATCGACATCCGAGCTGACGCAGTCAATCGAAGTTAACTCCAAACAATCGGCTAATGCAAACAGCGCTGCTTACATTTATCTTACACGGTCCGTGCCTGATACCTGTGTACATATCTTGTAAGCCGGGTTGCTTAGCATAGGGAAGTAGGTGTCTTGTGTAAACGACTCGCACCTTGATAGCTTGCGTATTCAATCTGCTATAGCTATAGCTAGGTGAGCCGTAGTACCTCCGTATTGGTGTCAGATTCGATTGATAGGCTGCCGAGATTGAACAAAGACTATTGTAATTAGCATATACCTAAGTCATACGTTATCTTAATTAATATGCGGACTATAAGTGCATAGTGCATCTGTATGTTCCTATTGTCAATGTTAATTTCTACAATATGCAGATTGTGTGTATTCATTATATTATCAATAAATGTAAATGTGCTTGATTAATATCGATGTGGGTACTTGTGTTTAATAATTGGGCGTATTTTTATTTCGTGGAATAAATTTTGGTATTAATGATTAAAGCAGGTTCTTAACAAAATAATGCCTAATGAAAATACTATACATATTGATTAAATGCTTTTTAATTAGCAGAACATTTTACATAAATGAGTCGTTTAAATACATATTCATAATTTAAACAAATTCACGAAACTATCATGGAATTTGTCACATTTTATATCTGTACATAATTATCTCTGCAATCAATACCAACTATTATTTGTAGCGTCTATAATCAGAATTCCACAAATACTAACCCAAGAACTAGAAATAATTCCAATAGTCTTGTCTGAACGTAAACAATATCAATAACAAAGGGACCACGTAAACCTATCTGTCACTAAGTTTGATATAAAATGAAAGCAAACTATCTATTGCCGCCATTCGCACGCTTTCCGGCCGACAGGTCATATCTATCTACATATATGTATACATATAGATGTAATATAATATACCTACTTACCTATGTATTTTTTTTTAAATATGCATATACATACTTTGACCTTTCTTCTTCGAGCTTTCCCAGCTCGTTATCGAAATATTAGTTAATTAATATTGCCCTTTTTATAGATAAATAGTCAATGTTACACCATGTTGTGTTTACTTAACTAACCAGGTAATAGCTGCACACATACATACGTCTAGATATAATGTTATGAGCCCTCAGCAAAAGGGTTAACGTTGAGTGCAACTCTTATTAGATTCGCAGAGAGCTCACGGCATATAATGTTATGTAGATTAGTTCAAAGGAGAACGGATTTAACGTTGTGTACGAAGTTAAGGCAGACTGGGAGGAATTAAGGCTAAAAGGGTCAAACGATATGGGTAATGAGATGGGTGATAGCGTATTGTTGTCGGCAGTGGCAGCAGAGGCGGGCTGCGGCGGCGGTCGACGTACGCGAGCGGGCGGCTGCGCGCGGGCCCGCACTGGTCCTTCGTGTTCGACCCCGCCGGCCGGCTGTGCTACTACTGGTCCATGGTCGTCTCCTTAGCTTTCCTGTACAATCTCTGGGTCATAGTCTACAGGTTCGCTTTCCAGGAGATAAATGGTAAGTTACTTTTCTCATTATATGAAGCGTGAAACGAGGATCAAACCGATTTGTATCGCTCCTACTCATTTTCATTGTCGGGTGAACTTGAAAGCAGGCGCTTAAGTGGATAAAAATCCAATTTTGACTGTAGAGCTTATGCAAAAGACGTCTCCATTTAGATAGCAACCAAGATTAGCGACGACGATCTGGGGCTGCATCGACTTAGCGCACTCCGCGCATAGTTTCCGCCAACTTGCCCCGCGGTGAATTAAATTACTTACCTAAATAGCTTTTCTGAGTTAAATGTTTCGCATTGGAGACAATGTTATATTTGGAAGAGTAACGTCTGGATGTTTGCCCCAGAGTTACCATTGTTTCATTACAAGTTGAAATCTGAGATGACTTTCAACTATGCAAATTTGCAACTCCCTTACAATAATTTGATTAGTTCGTTATGTAATCATACGTTTACAATTAGTTACAATTAACAGATCAAACCACTAAGGTACAATGTTTTGTTGCAGGCGAGACGTTAATAGTGTGGTTTTGTTTGGACTACTTTTCTGATTTCCTTTACCTGGCGGATATATTGTTTCACTTCCGAACGGGCTACCTGGAGGACGGGGTGCTCCAGACGGACGCGGCCAAGCTGCGAGCGCACTACATGAACTCCACCACGTTCTACATAGACTGCCTGTGCCTGCTGCCACTCGACTTCCTCTACCTCTCCATCGGGTTCAACTCTATATTGCGCTCGTTCCGCCTCGTCAAGATATACCGCTTCTGGGCGTTCATGGACCGTACGGAGCGGCATACGAACTATCCAAATTTGTTTAGATCGACCAGTTTAATTCATTATTTATTAGTGATATTCCATTGGAACGGGTGCTTGTACCATATAATATATAAAAACAATGGGTTCGGTAGTAAAAACTGGGTGTATCATGACACTGAGACTGCGGATGTGGTGAAACAATATTTACAAAGTTATTACTGGTGCACGCTGGCGCTTACTACGATAGGTAAGTTCTCAATTTATACTATTTGCCTCTCACTCTCTGTGTGTATATTGTCTGTCTGTGAATTGTATAATATCCATGTGATACGTGTTCGGTGTCATAAGTTTTTATGTGAAGATTTAGCGGGTAATGATCTGGTCGTAAGAGTAATTATGACTTGCCATCTAATTTTAGTTCCTCGAGCGTGACAACGCGCACTGTATTTGCGTCTCTGCTCTTACCTGCTAGATCTTCGTTTACATATAAATATGTTCAAATAAACCAATGAGGTTTTAATTGATGACTGTAATTTGAATTATCTGTAACACTTGAATGTCTTTAATTTTTGTTTGTTCATTTATGCACTAGACAAGAAAAGAATATAAGTTTTTTTGTGTGTCTGGCCCATCACTACTATTACTGTCTCACGAACAATAACGGGATTATTCTACTGAAAATTCTAAAAGGCCTACCTTTCTACTCTTCCAAAAGTTCAATAACAAGAGACATAAAAACTTCAGCAACTTTCATAATCACAGAAAGACAAATCATAATTAAAAGACGAAACTTGTCCTATCAGTTGGTGTAACAAAAAAGTCACGTCTGAATGTAATGGAAGGGGAACAGACAGATATAATAATGTAAATTGTTCACTTGGATGATATGGATGCTCACGTAGCTGGTAGGTAATTAAATTTCATTGGCATGAGGAATAGAAAACGGTAAAGAGAATTAGTTTCATAGCTCTAGTGAATGTCGGGAATGACTGACGACCTGTCCAACACTACGCGCGCCTTCCAAATGTTTACTGAATAACTAGGTAATAAATAACATAAATATCTCATGAGAAATGTTTTGTAAACGATCATGCCGCAGTATTGAAAAAAAGATTGATTAATGAACAGCTCCCGTACCTTTATTTATGCTCCGTTTTATAAATAGTTTTTTAGATAATTTAGATGTTTCCTATTATTTTTTCCAACTAATCAAATTCAATACTTTTATACAAATGTACTTGTATATGAAACACTTCAAATTATGACGTCATGGTATTTTTGCGTCATATGTAGCTTACTTATTTCTTAAAAAATATCGAAAATTTAATGTCGAAAGGATAGATAAATATAAGTAAAGTTATATTTCAATCAATTTTATTGTATTGAAACGTCTAATTAATTTGTATTTGACCTTGAAAACCTCCCAATCATATAGATATTCGGTAAGAGATCATGGTTTATAGTAATATAAGAATAAACGTTTTAACTTGAATGTACAAAATGGAACAAAGGTGAAGATTTTTATTTCCACTAAACTGTGACTGATGTACATAATTCTTATGCTTAGTTATAGATTTCAATTTAATCAATATTAGTTACCTCATTAATGTAGTAGGTACATAACAGAATAATCTCAACAAATGATCCTTGTAAATACACAAAAACAGCCCTGCTTTGTGTTAATGTAATTCATACTATTTATTTATTAAAAAAATCGTTTTCTTAATTTTATAACTGAGACAGAGTTCTTGTATGTATATCTTTAAAAGATGTACACATCACTTACCGTATGTAAACATAAACATTAAACTAAGGAAAATTACTAAAACATTAAAAATTTAAATAAAAATATCAACTTAATTAATAATGTGAATCATGATTAGGATAAAAATAAAATAACATGAACCACGAAAACACAAAATTAAATTAAATCAATTTAAATCAAATTACTAAAAATATGTCTAAGTAATTCTTGTTATGTTTCAATACTTTTATACGATACAGAGAACTCATTAAGATTAAATTTCATCCCTCTATTTACTTTGTCATATTCATATAATACACAATAATATTCCCTGAATATTTATAAACATTATATTGTTGATGTTCGTTATAAGGTTATTCGAAGAAAACTGATGATTAGTATTGGATTACGATCCCGGATTGTTATGACATGTGAAACGGGCACTAATTATTGTTTACGTAAATATAATATTTTATGTTTAACGAAAAAAATATATCTTGTTTACAAATTCATACACGATGTTAACTAAGTAGAAGAAAAAATATTGGAAAATAACTGTATGAACGTAATTGCTTTAATAAACACAACTAGATTCTGGTTACCTACGTACGACGTGCCACCATTTTGTAATAATGATATAATCTATATTCACCAAAACCCTCTTCAATTGCCTGCACCGCAAAATCTAGCTCATGAATTTGTGATACAAATGATATTTTGCGATTCAATCAAATAGCCAGACAATTTATTTTAGCTACGTTCACTCTCAAATAGTGTTACAATTCAAATTCAAATGTCTGCTCTGTGTACCTAATAATAATATTTGCCATTTTTAACAATAATATTAGAGACTAGCTTCCGCCCGCGGCTTTGCTCGCGTCGTTCCTATGTTGATAATGAGCAGCCTATGAGTTAATCCAGGGATACCTATCTACATACTAAATTTCAACCAAATCAGTCTAGCCGTTTTGCATAAACAAACAACATTCTAGCAAACTTTTACATTTATAATATTAGTAGGATGTAATTCATTATCTGAAAAGTACACAGTTCCAAATCTATTAACAAGTTTTTTATAGATTTCAAAGTTTCAACGTTTATTTCTGACCGTTAAGTGGTAAATTCAAATCTTTTAAAACGAATCGAAAAAAGCGGTGGAGATAAAAATATTGTGGTTGAGAAGTTCCCTCGAGTCGAGCACTATCGACTTGAAGTGTCTCCGTAGATACTTGTCCATAGTCCGGGCTCGTCTCGGCTCGACTAGTCTGCCGCGCAGTTGGTCAACAAGTTGATAAACTTCCCTCGCAATATTAAGGCAATATTTTCACAAACAAAGCATCTTATGGGCGAATAAACAGAAACGTGCTCTATATGTATCGCCTTAGTAACACACATATGAAAATTGGTACATTATTACATGCAGGGTTGCCTATGTAAATATTTATTAGGCATCACTATGTCATTATGGGTGACAGATAATACAAATGTTAGAACGTTTCTATTGAATGTTTGAATTCTGTGCACTCTTACTTGTATAATAAACACAAGAAAATATACTTACAATTTTTCAAACCGTTTAGGCACCAATGTTGACTACATATTTGACGCTATGGATGGGCTAACGGCCGCCACGTAACATGTCGCGGGTTCGTTTCCCTTACGGAATAACTCTCTATGTAATCCACGAATTGTTATTTCTGGTCTAACTGTGGCGTGTATGTGACATTGTATGTTTGTAAATACACCCACGACACAGAAAGAAATCCTAGTTTGGGGCAAAGTAAAAAAATGTAATCATATAAATCCCTGAACAAAAACACGGAAAATAAATCATAAAACACATTATTAATGGAACGTGTTTACCGAAGACAGATCCAATTAACCGCTTGAGTATATTGCGTTACCAACTCATAATGATTAGCGGGTTTAATAACATATAGTGGCCCGCCCCACTCACCGCGTTGCTAGGAAATACAGGCAACTTTCCCGGAGGTTGACATTTTCCGCCCATAAATAGGGCGATAATTGCAGGAGAGATAACGATTATTTATACTGTTTATAAACTATAAATTGTGGCTTACCGAAGAGGTGTTTTAAATTAGATTTCATTATAATATGTAAATGATGTGCAAATAGGGAATTTGTTCACGTTGTATTAAACATACGAGGTTTCACTAAACTTATAAATATATCTACATTTTATGCGATTTACATTACTGAAATTTATAATTCTGTATGGGTATGTATTAAGATTTCAAACAATGTTTAGATTTTGATCACAATACAATTTCAAATGACGGTGATAACTAAACTAGATAAATGAAAAGATTCACAAGGTAAACGTACCTACTATGAAATTGTACTTAAAAACTCAATTTTCGAAACATTTATTAGAAACTTGCTCTTGCCCGTTCGCGTGGAATAGTGAATTCCTGCAGATTTTTGGTATAGAAATCTATCCTATGTCCTTTCTCGAGTTCCAAACTATGTCTGTACCAAATTTCACAGAAATCGTTTAAGGAGTTTAGGCGTGAAGAAAAGGCAGACAGACAGACAAACAGGCAGACAGAGTTACTTTCGCATTTATAATATCAGTTAGGATAATAACTTATAATGTTATAGAATGGCGATACTTATATTAGGCGTTATTATGAATGTAGTTCCCTCACATACACAAGACGAAGGAAAGTACAATAACTTAACATTATTTGGTGGTCGTTCATACGCGAACTTGGTAACTTAGTTAAGTATAAATCCCTGAACAAAAACACGGAAAATAAATCATAAAACACATTATTAATGGAACGTGTTTACCGAAGACAGATCCAATTAACCGCTTGAGTATATTGCGTTACCAACTCATAATGATTAGCGGGTTTAATAACATATAGTGGCCCGCCCCACTCACCGCGTTGCTAGGAAATACAGGCAACTTTCCCGGAGGTTGACATTTTCCGCCCATAAATAGGGCGATAATTGCAGGAGAGATAACGATTATTTATACTGTTTATAAACTATAAATTGTGGCTTACCGAAGAGGTGTTTTAAATTAGATTTCATTATAATATGTAAATGATGTGCAAATAGGGAATTTGTTCACGTTGTATTAAACATACGAGGTTTCACTAAACTTATAAATATATCTACATTTTATGCGATTTACATTACTGAAATTTATAATTCTGTATGGGTATGTATTAAGATTTCAAACAATGTTTAGATTTTGATCACAATACAATTTCAAATGACGGTGATAACTAAACTAGATAAATGAAAAGATTCACAAGGTAAACGTACCTACTATGAAATTGTACTTAAAAACTCAATTTTCGAAACATTTATTAGAAACTTGCTCTTGCCCGTTCGCGTGGAATAGTGAATTCCTGCAGATTTTTGGTATAGAAATCTATCCTATGTCCTTTCTCGAGTTCCAAACTATGTCTGTACCAAATTTCACAGAAATCGTTTAAGGAGTTTAGGCGTGAAGAAAAGGCAGACAGACAGACAAACAGGCAGACAGAGTTACTTTCGCATTTATAATATCAGTTAGGATAATAACTTATAATGTTATAGAATGGCGATACTTATATTAGGCGTTATTATGAATGTAGTTCCCTCACATACACAAGACGAAGGAAAGTACAATAACTTAACATTATTTGGTGGTCGTTCATACGCGAACTTGGTAACTTAGTTAAGTAGTTACGGGTTCCTTGCAGACGAAACTTTTCTTAGTAAACATTGTATTTCTCCACTGCCTTACTTGTAATATAATAAAATAGTCACGCCTCCGAGATTCGCTGTGTAAATTAATAATGATTTTAGAATTTGTTTGTGAAACCGCAGCACGGAGAAGTAGCAAAGAATGTATGAAAATTCTTTCATACTTTAATAAATTAGAGTAACTACGTTGAAAAGTTAAGAAAGTAAACAGAGTTATCAATTTATTTAGTACGAGCTTTTGCTTGCGACTCCTTTCGCGTCGAATAGTGACTTTCTGCAGATTTTTTGTATAAAAACTATCCTATGTCCTTTCTCGACTTCCAAACTATGTCTGTACCAAATTTCACTGATATCTGTTCACTAGTTTGGGCGTGAAGAAAAGAAAGACAGACAGAGAGAGTTACTTTCGCATTTATAATATTAGTTTGAGTTAAATTTGACTACAAGGCTGCCATACTAACTGGGCAACTGGCTGATGTGCAACGTGTCGAGAGAACGATTCCCCCATGGAACAACATGGTTTGTGAATGTCAATTTATTTGTTTAAACACGCACCCACGATACATTAGAATTACCGAATAACATATTATTACTATAATTATCATTCTCAAAAAGCTTTCAATTTACGCCATACGAAATATAAAATAAATATATAGATAATCAATTCAGAAACACAGTACTTACATATTGCGTGCGACTTGTAAAAACAATTTCGCAAAGCTTCGCACGTATTAACAACAACGTTGGAAAGCAGCTAGAGGTGTTTCAATGTAGAGCACCATTACATTTAATGACCACCATTTTGAGTTCCGCGCTCACGAACACTTAAAACATTAAGGGCAAGCACCATGCATTTATGGCTGAGACCTAGAAACGACAGTTCGGTTAGAGATCTTGGTTTTGATAGATTAAATTAAACTGCTTTTCTTAAACCACTTCATAAAAGTGTCTTATTACCTACTAACCTTTGAGAAGATACATATATACGAGTTTTTTAGCACCGTGACCGCTGTTAAACCGCCGCAATATCTAAAGTAATGGCAAGAAAGCATCGCCAAATTGAGTTCTATTCCCAATGTTATGAAAAATTCTTGGTCCCATTTTACGAAGTCATTTTCATGCACCTGCTCGCTTCCTGCTTCGAGACCGGTATTAAAATACATAGATTTTTTAATGATCTATATTAAAGGAACACTTAAATATATTTTATGTACATTCTTTGTTGCCATTCTTTATTGTTTTACGTATTCAAACACTTTTATTCCTTTGAATGAAAACAATAGCTCCGGACATTATTATGGTAAAACCTTTTTGGTAAAGGTTTATTTGGGATAATATCAATTTCTTTTGTGAAAAAAGTGTATGCTTTTGTTGCGCTACTAGTATAATCCTAGCCGACGGCTACTTTTTGGGCGTCGGTAGTTGATAATGCCAAAGAAATGGCACACATTTACCTACATGGATAAGCAGGAAATCATGTAGGCAGGATTTGTTGAAAATGCGGTGACGTAAAAGTACGTAGCTTGCAGTTGCTGAATACGACGGTATTCATAATGAGAATACAATAAATCCAATGCATATTCATAATACGAGCTCACCGTCATAAATAAAGAACAACACAATAATTATATACAAATCCGTACAATGGTCGCCAGGTAATGGGAAAAGTTTTAAATCAACAAATCCCGCATACCGAATGTATGTATGCGTAACTTGGCGTCGGCCATAAATTCGTTTCGTGTGCGTATCTGTTGTACCGAGTCCCGTTAATTATAAACATAAAATCAAAATACATCTAAATTCGGAGCCATTTTAATTAAAACGATATAAACATCTTGGGGGTTTGTGTGTGGTAATTTGTACGTAGAATTGAAGCATTGGAATGTTGTTTGTATCATGAGTGAGCGTAATTACGGTGGTGAGTAGGCCACATAGCACTAACGACGGATAATGTATTTTTATGAGCACAATAAAAAGGTGTTACAATGTCTTGGAGACTGTTCCCTTTATTGGCGATCGTTTTGCAAGCTTGCCAAGTGTAACGCCCGCAGTAAGCTCTAATGGCGTGTATTCATAGCCACATATTAAAATCCGTAAAGTATAAAATTTTCTCACGTATCAGTAAAGCAACGTCAACGTCAGTGAGAAGAAAAGATTTAAATTCACTATTATGAAAAATGTAGATGGTTTTGACGTTTACAATGACTTAGAATTATTAAATTTTTACTTTGTATGCTTATTATCAACATAATTATGAAATGTAGAAAAACATCTGTCATTCCTCAGCTACAATTTTCGTAGCGCGGCGTAGCATACGTCACGGATGTGCTACGAAACTTTTTGTGGCTTGTAAACAGTTTACGTGCTCTTTGGGGCCATGCGATTTAACAATCCGTAAAAACAGCCCTCTTGGTAACTGTCATGTTTTAGGGGCCGTCCGTCTTCTGATAAGGACCTTTGGTATCTGCTTATTATATTTGATCGTTGACTCAAGGATACTTGGGATACTCGTTAGGATATTTATTACGATAAATATTTAATGGAAAAAATGTACACGAATTTCTCTGTTTCAGTAATGAGTCTAATATTTGAATTCGAGAATCATTATTGAGAAAGCTTAAATATGCATTTTAAGTAGTAGAACATTAGAATGAGAATAAGCGAAAGAAGTCTTAATTCAAATGATACTAATTTAAAATGGTTGCTCTCGTTTTAAATAAGTACAAAATTTGTTTTTATATAAAAATAAAATTCGTATTTTCACATCTCCCCGTCACAGGTGGTGGGATAAAGTGCTTAAACACGAGGCTTAATCTGACATTGACTCGAACGAGACGCAGGGATAAAGTGGGGCGACCGCAGCTAGCGAACATTTTTGAGCTCATATTTGCAGCATTACTGAATCAAAAAAAATGTTACAATCCTTTCCTTCGGTGTTTTTAGCAAATGTATGTTATTAGTGTGGGGGTTTTGTTTTTGTTCGGGGTAGCAATTACAGAGGCGTTGATGTATGATTTGGAGGCGGCAGCGAGCGTGGCGGTGCGCGGCCCGCGGTCCGCTACTAACCGCTCTATAACCACATCGTTATGAGCGTCGACGTTGTTACAATGAATTGCAGGTTGTTTCTGCTCTGATATTGTTTTAATTTCATTTGTTCTTACACTTCAATGCTCCCTTCTCATTGCTCTTTGTCGCAAAACAAACTGTACCAACTATATAAAAACTTTTTCTTTCTTTTGTTAAAAATTCATTTAATAAAAAATTTTTTAACACTTAGTATTAAAATGGCGATGATGTCAAAACGGTATGAAAAATTGGTGTCGCATTTTCTTATCCATCGTGTGACGAAGCTATAGGAGATCAATTTGCATAGATAAATGGCTGCGATTTGTCTCTGGACGTGTCTCGTGGTACATGTATGTGTATAATGGCTGGCGTGCCATTGCAGCTAAGGCAATAGCGATGTATCACACGTGCAGGTGATTTACTTGGGTACACACACAGATGTATTGTTACTCTCCACGTTAAGATAATTAGTACCAAATCATGTCTAAAAACAAATGTTATTATAAGAAAAAATTGGTAGGTCACTAGTCTTAAGCGTTTCTAAATAACTCAAACTGTCTACAATCTGTTGCTAAATACCATATTATAAACAATATAATTAATATTTTAAAAATACAACAACATGTTACAAATATTGTCCAATACTTATTAATAATAATCAACATGCTTTTGTTTTGTTATTAATTACGGTGTACTGTGAACGAACGGTGAATTTACCTTTGTACTATTAAATTGATTGAGCTACTTATATGCATTTGTAGCCTTAACATTGTTGTTAATAAGTTTGTAACTATAAAATAACCATTAAACATTTTATACGAATGTGAAAAACGTGTCTTTAATAATATGTTTGTGTGCAGGAGACTTGCCTCGACCGCGCAGTAAAGGCGAGTACGTGTTCGTCATCGCGCAGCTGCTGTTCGGGCTGATGTTATTCGCGACAGTGTTAGGCCACGTCGCTAACATCGTCACCTCAGTCAGTACCGCCAGGAAGGAGTTTCAAGGTAAACATTACTCCTCACACACATCTAAATACTTTAAACAAAAAGAGGCCGAAGTTCATTGCGGCTTTCCCAAATAGGCTATCTCTATACGGGTATACCGCTTTGAGAGGTTTGAATGTCAATGACACAATTCCGAGCAAAGCGAGTCAAAAGCATTCATAGGTATGTTCAATGCTATATTCTAGGTACAGGTATTATCCGCTTAACGTATTTTTTTCAATCAGATTTCCATAGTCAATACGTGCGTGATTGCTTGATTTAATACGCGTATCCAATTTACTTTCGCTTTTGTACGAAATATCGGAATATAATTTGCTCGATATTTTTTTATTTACCCGTAATTATGGTTCCACTTAGTAATGTTTGCCATAGGTCGGCACAGGTCAAGGTTCTTCTCGTTGTAAGGTTATTTATACATACCTATCTACTTTCACTTACGTTGATCTAAACCTTAAACGTGCCTCAGTGCGGGTCTGACGCGCACAATTTAGGGATGTAATATGAAAAACGTTTGAGGTAAGCCGATTACCATATAAGAAGGATTATGCAAACATAAAACGTTCTCGTATAAATATGTACTGTAGACAAGCTTTGCGAACTTCTCATTTCGCGTGATGCATTAGATTGTTAACACGATTTATCATGCACTCGTGTGAAGGTTCAAAGCGTATGGTCCACATTGTGGGTCGAGGAGACGGCACGACGCGCGCGGGCCATCGTGGCTGTCACATTAGCGTACTAAGCAGGTAGACGTGCAGGCACGTGCCTCCCGCACCGCCGCCGAGCCGAGCCGGTACGTGCGTCCAACACCGGACTCCCTAGTACTCACTTCACGACCTCACGTCACGAAAGTCCTCGCGGGATATTCATCTGATCGACATTTAAGATGATAACGAAAGCCTCACTACAATGTTTCATTTACGATGGAAAAAATACTATACGAAACCCAAAATGCTCTACTTAAATTGATAACGGACACGTGGAGGTAATCAATTCGCACGATGGATAAGTCTATCATTTTAAAGACAGAGAAGCGGCAAAGTGTCAACAACTTTAATTAGCGCTGCAGCTCGGTTGAGAAGACAATGGCGCCACGACGGCAGAGAGCAGCTGAATCCGTGACCTTCCTCGGTGGCGCTGCAGCGAAATAGGTCAGCGGCTTGAATGCTATAAATAGCTCGGCGAAAGTCGGGCGCCGCGCCCCATCCCGCCGGGAGAGCGCGTCGCGCGCGCCCGCCCGACATCGATCCGTGCTGCCACCGCGCGCCCCATCGCGCCCCATCGCACCCCATCGCACCCCATCGCCCAGCGCCCGCCCGAGCCTAACAATTCGACAATAATTGATCTGCTCCACGACCGCTGGTCAGATCAGCGGGTTTGCACTGTTTAGCAGTACGGCTCAGCACCTGCAGTATATGTACCTACCTGTCTGGTCTCGATTTTGCTATTGTTTACATACGCATATACATAGACACACAAAAAAAAATCTTTGTTTCTATTGTTCGTTAAATACTATTTCATTAGTCATAGGTCAGCATGAACTTTTTACTCAAATAAATATATTATTTCTTCATAAGTAATTTAATTTACATAATATATAAAACATAATGAAGGAGGAAAACCCCGCTCTTTGAGTATATTTAAATTAAATCTGTTAACCAATTTCATTAGTCCTAAACTGTAGGCTGTATTCACAACTTATATAACTTGCGAGCCGGTCGCTTATCCCTAATGAAATACTAGCTTTTTCATACTACGCTTACACGTCCGCTGTAAAATGCCTACTTGCAATCTTCACACACACAATATTAAATTAAGTTTATCAACTTAGTGAGTAGACGTGGGAAATTTCTAACTTAGATTTTCTTATTTTACTCCGTAAGTAATGTTTGAAAGACAGCACTTTACGTTGTTTCACTTAATTTAGTAGGTACTATTTCATAAAAAAGTTAGTAATACGTTTTAGTAAATTTTGTTTGTTTTATTGTTGTTCGTAAAGAATTTCCTCGAACCAAATGGTGGAACTTATACAACTGGTAGATTAGTAGACATACATATGTATATTAAAATTAATTAATGATTGAGTGCGTTGTAATATTCCGTGGGATATCCGGAGTTCAATAGGGAGTTAGAAATTGTCGATCAGGCGAGCGCAATGTAAACAATCGGTGCACTCGCTCCTACAGTAAGTATCTAGTTTATATTCAAATTGTTGGACGCGGCCTCTCCTCAAATTGTGTACGCAGTCAGCGCTCTCTGCTATAGGTCCGCTTGACTTTTAGACCTCACATTGTTGCTTGTACTAATCTCGGTGTCGATAATTACAACAGCTTGTTCAAGTGTGTTTGAAATTAGGCCGCTTTTACATAATATTTCATACTCTTACTAAGTAGCTCTTACTCGTGGCAATTCATTAATGTTCCCATTGCAAAAATACGCCGAAAATAAATCGTAATACTCTCATTTCGATTGAGGAAGAGGTTTTGCTAATTTATACACAGCCTCTGGGACGTTTCTTTCCAGTTGACTTATTCTACTTGAAGTAAACACAGAAGCCTTGGCAATAAAATAATAACGCTTTGCTAAATAAAGAAGCCTTATTTTCGGCCTCAAAAAGTGTGTTGTAAGTTAATGTAGCGTGGCTGGTGGCGCACGTGGCTTAAATTCGTGAGGCGACGCGACGCGGCACGGCGCGGTGACAAGCGGCCGCTGCCCCGCCATTGGCGACCGCACTCAGCCACCATCCCCGTGCCCGCACCGTGTTTGAGCAAGATTAAATTACTCCGAATGTCGGCACACTAATAACACCGTGTACACTGCTGTATTGCACGGCAAAGGGCGGCTGTTCACTTGCTTTTGTGAGGAAATGTTTATTGTTGACGCTACTTAACAAACAATTAGCCCTTTGTTTCCGAGTCGGACACGAGTTGGATGGACTTTTAAATTTTTCAACGAACAATAGTAGAAAACATGTAGCACGTGTCACACAACGTCCTGCGTCTGGCTAAAATGTCGAACCTCATTAGACACCTTCGGCAAAATATTGTATGTTGGATTGCTCGTACATTTCTAAATCGTGTTATAATATGTACACACGCAATATATTAGCTATTAGTTTGATTCATTCTTATTTCAATATCATAACATTAATTTCATACATGATACTTGTCTAGTAAAGAATCAATGATATTTTTTTTTTTGATTCGGTAACTGTATTGATGTTCTGTCGATGAACTAACTACAAGTATAATATTATATGACATTTGGCATATCGTTAATGACATCGGAACCAATCATACTCGAATAAATATACTTTTAAATAAAATAATCAATCATTAAAGTAAAATACTTGCGTTTCGCAAAAAGGCAATAAAAGCAATTCACTACACAAAAAAAGATAAGAAGCTGTTGCAATATGTGTGGAATGACTCGCCATAAATTAGGAATATGAGAAGAGAATCATGCCAAAACTCATAAGATGTTTTTGTTTGTTTTTGTCTTTGAAATGAGCGATAAAATAATTCTGAGATAAAATAATGTCTAGGCAACTTTCAGCGCAGCTTTTATGAGTAATTGGCAAAGTACAGTGCGCAGTGCACTTTATCGTCCGCTGTCCAGCACGCTTGATATCGAATAAAGTTGTACAGTTCGCACCTCTAGCCGATACGGTTTGCTTATGTGACAAAACCTAGTACAGCTCGGTGTTAAACTTAGTCATAACCCATAAAGCTTTGTGCATACGATCACTTTGAATACGAAAATTTAATAATAGTTGAGGCGATCGATTTTCCAATAAGTGGCGATTAGTGCTAACTTATTCCGAACACTTAGAGCCACTCGTTACTGAAGCTAGTGATTAGGTGCAGCTCTTTGTCCGCACTCACCTTTCTACCAGCTTTGTTTCTTTATAATGAGTTCTCGACTGTATAAATGTTGTATCCTTATTACATACCAAGTGTTCAATTTAATTGTATAGCGCGTTTCAGTGCTACCGCATCCTTTGTGCATATTGACTACAATTGGACGCTTTGAGAACAAATATTTTACATTTGCAGACTGAACACAAAACCGCACGCGGCACGCTCCCTATCAATGTAAATTAGTTTTCATTTGGGCTCGGTGTGGCATGTATGATTTAATTTACTTTGTCTTACTGACTATTTTCAATGCAAATGCTTACCAAGGATATAGAACACTGGTTTTGTTTATGTTTTTATCCACCTACCTACATCGTGGCTAACGAACTTTTTATGTTTAGGTAAAGGAAACTTATGTCACGGACGATGGCCCTTTTTTACTGAAGTAGGATACATTCGCGGGAACTCCACAGGGACACGGTTGGAATATATCGCTTTACCGCACAATCACGTCTCAGGCTGAATGGATCGATGCACATTAAAATTGTAATGTCGTGTACTAGGAATGTAAACTAGGGTAACATATCGTACAGGTATCTAATTATACATAGCACGCGGCGTATATGAGTAGTTAATGCCCACATTACACGTCGTTATTGTGTGTTTGTTCTGAACTAAGCCTGTTATCTCGGGACAGACATGGCAGCCGGGTTAAACGGTTTTGGTAAACTTGAGATTGCAATTATTTCTTGCTAACATTAAGTTAGCACTTGACATAGTAGGCGCTCCACTTAGCTTAACTAACCCTAGTTCCCGGACGGCGACAGGTGAGATTAAGTACGATCTAAAATACAGTATAAATTTATTTTGTCGCAGTGAAACTTTGGGACAAGTTTATGAATAATATTATCTTTTCGAAATTGAAATTTTGTTAGGGAGACGATATTTGAGTAATCTCTTCCTAATGATGTCAAAATTTGAACTTAACGGAACTTTGCTGTGGAAGTTATTTTTCTGATGCAATGGGACCGAGAATGTATAAAGTTTTAGGTATTTAGGTTTAGGTATTTATTACGCCTATCTGAATCAGTAAATAAATAGTATACCTTCCTTGAGAAATTCAGGTTTATTATTACCCTAGGCATCCCAACATGTAGTTCTAAATTGTTTTATTGTTACAGCGAAACTGGATGGCGTGAAGACGTACATGCGCATGCGCCGGGTACCCACACACTTACAGGTGAAGGTGATCAAGTGGTTTGACTACTTGTGGCTCACGCAAAAGTGCTCCGACGAAGAGAAGGCTGTCTCCTGCCTGCCTGACAAGCTGAAGGCAGAAATAGCTATCAACGTACACTTAGATACGCTAAAGAGGTAACTCACAATTTAGAAGTTGTCAACTCAATGCTTTTATTGAAATGTAAAAACTATACTATACATATGACGTCATTATGTTTAACGTCAAACCGCATACTTATTATTAAAAAGTTAATTCATTAAAGAGCAAGCGTGATGATTAATGCTCAAACCTTCTCCGTGTGAGAATAGGCCTTTGCTTAGCAGTGGGCACTTAAAAGCTGATGACGTGGAGATGAATGACCCGGTGGTCATTCAAGAGAGAAAAAGAAAAACTAAATCTAAAATTAAGTACAACAGTCAAATCGTTGAATAAAAGTATGACTTTATTTTAATAAATTGTATTGTAAAGTCAAAATAATTTATGTTTGATCTAGGAAAAGACCCATTCATTGTTACACTTATGAAAATCAAAATAGCTGCAAAAGTTTTAAACATTTGTTGAAACAAATATGCTCACTGGAAAACAATATTATAATAATATTACTATTCTCCACGTCGTTTGCAGATAAGAAGGCGATTAGTATTCCTTAATGTTTATATACAAAGCATAAAAAAGGGAAAACTCAGGGCCATTTGTGTTCTAACATTTTATAATAACACAAAATAAATGACAAGCCGAAATTATATCATTTCATTGATAAAAGCAAGCTTATGCATAGGTACATAAGGGCAGTGAAGTTTTAGTTTAATTTTAGGAATCTTAAATATAATTTTAATAAGTTCATGACATTTTTTTTTTTGTGTTTTTATGGTTTCTGTGTCGGTGGTCCAGATAGTTGGATAGTATGCACGATGTTAATGCAGCGTAACACTTGGAGCTTAATATCCCGTGTTGTATAATTAAAAAGAGAAACATTCGCTTTTTACGTCCATGAATTATGCAAGTGTTCGTTTATACGATCAGTAAATTTTTTGTCGTCAAATGACTTTTCTGTACTTTTCTGTTTTTCAGCGAAGTTCTGTTTGCTTTCTGTTTAGAGTACTTGTAATTTCACCCTGTATTTGCATATTTTGTTTATTTTTAATACAACGTTAAATACTTTGTACAACAGGGTGGAAATATTTCAAAACACGGAAGCAGGATTTCTATGTGAGCTAGTCTTACGACTTCGGCCTGTTCTGTTCTCGCCAGGCGACTACATCTGCAGGAAAGGTACGTTATGTTTACTTCATATTAATTTAAAAATGGCTTCCAAAATAGGGCGCTAAATAAAATGAAATCGTTTACATACAACACTTGCTTTGTGGTTTCTTAGGTGAAGTCGGGAAGGAGATGTACATAGTGAACCGAGGGAAACTCCAGGTGGTAGGCGACAACGGGAAGACCGTTCTCGCAACACTCAAGGCTGGTTCTTATTTTGGCGAAATTTCCATTCTGAACATGGGCACGGCAGGTAAACAACTTGGTAAATATCGCCAGGGCCCGAGATGCCACGCCATTATTACTCTACTCTGTACTGTTGCAAAGTTTTGAAAAGCAAACGTTTCGAGGAGACGCTGCAGTCAGGCCGAGGGAGCGGCCGCGACGCTACCAACAGGTTCTGGGACATCATTGTGCCACGACTGTTACCGCTGTCGGCTGCGCACTCACTTACCGTCTGACGAGTCCATACGACTAGACTGCCACGCAAACACGCACCCGACTAGCGCTAACTAGTTCGTGCCAATTGTACTAGGGAATGCTTTCGATTTCAATTAATTTACAATTACGCATTTTAGATATGATTTCAGTTTTTTTATATGCTCTTAAAATATTCCTTTTCATATTGATACTTCAAAAGAAGAAATATTGTTGTGTGGTAAGCTTAACTACTTTTATTTGTCTCGAGTCGGACTTCAATGGCTTCATCTTTAGCTCCTCTTCAAGGATTAGTAGCCTTTTGTGTCATGTGGTTTATTTGCATCTTAGTACATCTCCTTTGGTTGTATTGAAGGCAGTGTCCCCGATCGCTTTGCATCCTCCCTGATTACCTCATATACTTGGCGTGACCTCTTGGTGCATGTTTCCCCAATATTTTTAAGTGTCACCTGCGTACGTTAAATCTTATATCATACTATCGGTTTTCAATTATTTTTATCTAACTTCGATATCCTATGCAATCTGACTTGTAGAACTGCTTAGTTCTTTTACGGATTTCATATATCTACTGATTTTATTAATATCTAGCATTCGTATGTAAGACTTTTTGTATTTTAAAGCTTTGTCTTGGTATTGGAGCACAATAAGAACCCTAGAGAGATGGCTTCTTATCATTTTTTTACGGTCAGTTGTTATTTTCCAAATTGTGAACGCGATGTGACTCCGGAACCGTTTACCCACCCTTCGTGTTGTCTAAATTTCAAGGTAGTGTTCGATCTTTTTACTAAATTATAAGCTTACTTTAGTTTTGAACTGTGACTGAACTTCTCTTGTCCTATCTACCCTGCCACTGTATCGGCTGTCCTGGTCTAGTGTTTCTTATGACCTGTTCTGTCTATGTGTGTGTCATGTGGAATGAGGGATCAGAACAGCTCATAAGGGGGGACCAGACGCCGGTTGGCATGGAGTGTGTGGATGACACGTCGACAGGCAACCGCCGGACAGCATCGGTGCGATCTGTGGGTTACTCGGATCTCTTCGTGCTCAGCAAGAAGGACATGTGGGACGTGCTCAAGGAGTACCCCGCCGCCAGGGTGCGGCTCGAGGCGATCGCTGTCAAGAGACTTGAGAAATATAAGAAAGCACCGCTGGAAAAAGGTAATCGGTCCAATTTTTTACAGTAACAGAAATATGACTAACGAAAAACATTTCCGTTCCTTGTATCCATTTGTAGAAGTAAGTTTTATGTTAATGTTATGGCACGATCGCAAGTTTACACTGCAATTTAGTACGGCACTCTGTACTAAACTTGTAATGAAAATTGCATTGCATTGTTTTACGATTTTAGAAAAATACCAATTAAATTTAATATTGTAGTGGCCATGGGTCGTTGCCAGTCGACGCCCGGGCTGGTGGAGACGAGCGGTCGCGTGCCCATTGAGGACATGAACCTGCCGCCTGCGCCAGTGCTGCCACCTCCACACCCTTCACACCCGCCTTCTTACCGGGACCAGCTTTATAGGTGCTGTGGACAACAACCTTATACAACTGCTCATTATCCTGCTGAAATACATATTCTTCTTTCACTTTGTTCCCTAACAAACATTATTAAACTTATGGTTACCTGGTAAAGAATAGTCTTGAAATGTTACAAAACTGATAATCTTCTCTAAACTACGTCAGAACCTTTAAAGGACTGCAAAATGAATATGGCTTCTGCAACAACGGTAACAAGAAAAACAAAGTAGAAAGTATTAAGTACACTTGTTTATAATACATGTATATCAGATTTTAAATAGAAACTATCGTGATACATCCTACATTTTGAAAATAACGTCTTACCCACGTGATATAATTGAGAAAAGCTCTACTAGTTTCAAGTCACGACGGGACTTTTATTCATGAGTAGCGTGCGCGTTGCGGCGACTTCGCGACGTCGAGAGTCGGCTGCATTTCTATAAAACTTACATGTATATAATTTTAAACTTCTCTGGACTATTTACAATCTTTTTCAGTCTACCTATAAATCTTTACAAAGAGTAGAAGTAGATGTTGAAGGTGACTTTGTTTGCATGGTCAGTTCGTCAGTAAGTCCACTGCGCGTGGCGTCGCCGGTGGCGTCATGCGCGTCGAGCGCCCGCAGCAGCGGCGCGGGCGGCGGCAGCGTGGCGGCCGCGCCGCGCGTCATGCTCGACTCGCACGACGCGCTCGAGTGCGAGATCAAGCGCCTGCGCGAGCGACTCTACACCGTCGAGACTGAGAACGCCGCCATGTCTGCCAAGCTCAGCCAGCAGCAATGGGAGGTTGACCAGAGGTACACTCTAATTTGTGTAATTTTCTGAGATGACCTATGACAAGCTTGAGTCAAGGATTTTTGATAGGGTGTGTAATTATTAATATGAGCATGTTCTGTCCAGGCTGCAAGAGATAGAGATGCAGATCTGTGGCGGCAGCTCGGTGAGCTCGCTGGAGGAGAACGAGCGCAACCGCGAGAGCATCATTTAACGGCGCGCCTCGCCCGAGCGCGCCCGCCTGCTGCCCATGCAGACGTTGCATCTCGCCGCCGTATACTGAACCTATGACCAAATGTTTATACTCCCCGCCCCCAGAACCCCAACCCCTGTCCCGCCTCCCCTGTGAACTTGTGAACTTCGAAAGTACAATGAATTAGTGTTTTTATGAGTAAATATTATTACGGAATATTTAAATACGAATTAACTTTATCAAATTTATATATACGTAGTATATACGACTCGCTATGTTTGACGAGTGTCGTGGAGTGAGATTTTGCCGAGACAATATTATCTTAAATACGTTATGGTTTAGGTGTCGAAGTGTAAGAGTGCAGTGCGCGGTGTGTACCGGTCGTTGCCGCGAGTACCTCTGTTCCTCAGTAAGTCGGTGGCTCTACTGGTTCATGTCCAACATGGTGGTCCTGGCTGTTCCCGCTGTCTAGTCCTGGCGAATGTTGTCCTGTAGGGATGAGAGTTTGTGTACAACGTTATTGTGTATCGTATAATCAGTAACTGATACTGTGTGCCAAATTAAGGCCAAGTGAATGTGCTATGGATAAGGTTTTTGTGTTAACTCATAAATAGAAAATGTAATGGATATATCCTTATCCATTAAATTTGAGCTTTAATTATTATAAAAATCCCGGAAGACTTGATCATTGACCCATTTTAAGTGTTATGTTTCAATTAACCTGATCTTTGATATATCGTAACAGTCTAGGGACTAGTTCACTCGTCACCAAATTTGGTATAATCTATGTAACTATATCGCGGAATAATAATATTACATTCTGAAGCAGTTTTGTCAGTTTTAAGAACATAACGACCATAGTATGTTGTAATTTGTTGTATAAAATGGATTTAATACGTCTATGAAGTAAGTAGCTTGTAACTGGTAATGACAGTTTGGTAATGTAAGGTCAATACTGCCAACTAACGTGTAAGTAGATACAACATTTTTATGTATCATAATAATATTGACAATCGACTAACAATGTTTTGTACTTGTATTCTTTCTATTACTCTACGTATTATTATTATTATTTATGTACCGTCGCGTGCCGACGATTACCACATAACTGAATTTTATTGTAAAGCTTTTATAATACATTCGTTTCAGTAATTACTTTAAGTATTGTTTTGAAATAGACCAGTACACATTATAAAGTGGTACCAAAATATGAGAACAAAGTAACGTAACTCAGCTCTAAGCGAATTGTAAATAGTTATTCTAATATCTATGATACGTGTTTGTAAGCTGTTTTCATTGACGACCGTTTGTTTTGGAAGCAAAGTCACCCGATGTGTATTGTGTAAGGGAAGGAGTCTGTAGGCTGCTCATTTGTTTACACTCAGTTCCAGGTTCAGTTCGTGCGTCAATCACTTCACTTAGTTACCGTCGTACTGTTTATTTCCTTAACGCCCGAAGAATATAATAGATAGGCGATAAAATTTTTAAAACTGTAAATAAAATATTTATTTATTGTTATTATATTCCATAAATTTTCTTCTTACATATTTCTCGATTATAAAATGGTAAGAGAGATGCATTATGCAATTGAATACTTATATTTAACGAAAAAACGAAAGTGCTTTTTATCATATTGACTAGTGGATTAATGCGTGTCGCCGGACGCCGGCGCCCGCGACACCGCGGACCGATTCCTTTTGTAATAATTATTATAAGTGCTAATTCTTTACCTTCACACGAAGCAGACATGTTCTAATGCGATGATCGTATCATTTGGACGGAACTTGAAACGCGGTTCAGTAGTTGTGCAGTAACCAGGCTTGTGCATCTTAAATTGGAAATTAAATTATGTATCGCACATGATTCATTTTATTGTTATTAAAAAGATTATGATAATAAATTGTTGAGTTTTATTTTCCCAAAAAATGTATTTTCCTTCGAATACCAGTAGTTTGACAATGTTTAGGTATACATAAGTTTACGAAAGTGAGTATAGACTAATTTCTGTAGTTTAGGTTATAAAGTAAATGTAAACTATCTTGGTATGTCTTTTTTTATTTTAAAATTGTCTGTAAATTTGATGTAAAAAATTTACTAAAACTTAAATAATTTTTATATTTGTTTTGTAGGACCTCTTTTATATAATAAAAGACACACTGATATTATTTACCTTTAGCTTACCACCTAAACAAATATACCAAAATTCGGTGCCATTCAATTTAAATCTATCTTAAGGTCACAGCTTATCAGAATTTTTAATTAGATATGTGTGTACTAGTATAACTCAACAGATATACCACTGAAATACCACTACTACTAATCCTTAAATGCTAACACAGTACTTTAAAGCAAAAAAGACAGGAATAAATAAAAAAGAAAAAAGGTTTTCCTTTGCATCCGAATGAAAATAACAAAAAAGGTCAGAAGAAAAGATTAACATGTCTATGATTAAATAGGGATATAGAAGTGACACTGGCACAGAAGAAGGTATAATTCAAAAGTTTGAATAAAGAACGTGGAATGGGTGAGAACATTTTAGTGCGGAACTCTCGGCCGTTAGTGATCCACACACATTGTCTGCGTAACAAAGGATTTGCATAAACTAGGAGAAACGTAAGTATGGTGATCGGAAGATCGATATTCCAGATGAAATATCATATGTTTCTGCATATACAGTTAGAATAGCTTTTCAATACCAGATATGGACCTATAAGCTAGGATATTTTTTCAAGATATCGTGAGTTTTGCGATTCTGTGGAAAAGCAACAAAACATTCCAAAGACGACTGTTAATAGTTATGGCAAGATTCTTATAGGTAGTTAAATAGGGTTATCAAACATGAACTATTAGATAATTTCTTACAAAACAAACGTGGCAGTCAGTTTCTTTTTCAAAGACCTTATTTCCCTCGACATAAAGCAAAAAACAATTTGTATGAAGATAATTAAACCCATGTGAATCTATATTACCAAATTTCGGCTATGATTCTTCGGGTCTCGGGTTTTCTTGGGGTTACTCTTGGAGACAATACACTGGCCAACTTTTTATCATACTCCAATCTGCGACAATTTACGTTGAATTATCAAATAAAAAAATACATTTAAAAACAACGTTTTTTCTATTGTGTCGTGGGTGCGTTTACAAGCATAAAATTTCAAATACACACTACATTCGTACCCAGAACAACAATTTATTTGTTGATCTTACAAAGAGTTGTTCCGTGCGGGAATTCAACCCACGATACGTTTCGCGGCAGACAGTTGCCCAGCCACCGCGCCAACCGTGAAGTCAGTGCAGTATTTCAACATCTAATAAAGAACTATAACAGAAAGTAATAAGCTATCCAGCTGGCCACTGCACAATACGGGTTACCAAATATAGTAGTAAAATATGTATTTATAGAGTTATTCTGAAATAGAATAGAGACCAATGGCGAAACCTTACTTGCTTCTCTGTTTGACTCAACCACGGGAACAAAAGTTAGATTTCTTCCACCCTGGGAGAGAGAGAGAGAGAGTATCGGACTATTACTGACTTAAAATCACCCCGGTCCTTCTTCTGCTCCAGGCCGGGGTCGCGGTAAAGTACTGCGCCAGTACCGCAAACCTATCCAAAATTACGGCACGCGGTAACCCATCTAAATGCTTTGGTGACCGTACTAGAACCGATGTTTTCAACATGGTATCGACGATGGCCAAAGTATTGGAATTCAATAAGTATCTTTTCTGTCTATAAAAAATAAAATATAAACACACTGTCAAGGACACAGGGCTATTGAATACGCATTTGTCTCTAATAAAGTTTTCAGCGTCGATCTAACGACAAAGCTGGAGTTATTGTTTCATCACAATTAAATATGGAAGGGGTTTTCACAAGCATTCTCTTTGTAGATGAGAGATCTAAATATGAATGTTCACGTATCTAGAGGCTCGGCGCTATTCAATAGGAAGATACACTCTTGAGAGGGTGCCTACTTTGTGAGGTTACCGGGATTCCCACTCTCGCTTAATATTTTATTTGGTTCTAACGCGCAATCCGCTGCGTTGCCGAGCCTTCGTGTATTTCTATTTACGTACCTGTATTTAAGAGACGGCTTTGAATAACTTTTTGTTATAAAGCGGCAACTTTTCCCGTTGTTGTTTTATTGCCTGTCAACTGTTTTAACGTGGTAATAAGTATTTTTAGCAGGCGAGTAAAAAGGTTTCCACTTTAATGGTCACGTTGTGCACAATTTTCTTCCTGCTCCCCAGTGCTTGAGTCTCAATCCTTTTTAAATATTCAATTAGAAAGTGGCTTTTCTTTCCTCAAAGAGATTTTCCTCTTTTCTTTGTGGGAAACGATTTTTCTAACTAATAGTCATGTTCGCTTCATGTGATGTTTAAATTAGCAAAATAAATGCTTTTAATGGTCTAAAAGAAAGTTGTGTCTCTCAAGAGTTCTTCTTTTAGTAGAAACGATTAAATTCTTTCTTTGAAGGTAAGACAAACCAGTTTATAATATTAGATTTTTGCTCTTTAGTTGTGAATTATCTAAGTCGTGCAATGTGGATTCAGAGTATTTTGAAATATAATACCGGCCAAGTGTGAGTTTTGTAGTAGAAGGTAATATTTAGATCATTTTTCGATTTATGACTAATAAAAAAACTATATAGGTACTAGATCTTGTTCAAACCAAATTCAAATGCTATTGTTACTTTTATCATTCTCTCCCTTATTTTAGAAATTACAGGATGTAGATAAATTTTATTACATAAGAAGAGTCTCGAGCGTTAACTTTTTAGTTATAGTATCTATTTAGTAGCCTCGATATCATTTTTGAAGACCTATCAATAGATACTTTCTAGTACGAGTAAGAAATACGAAATTTTTTTTTTTTAAAGAGTAACTATGGAGTTTCTTGCTCGTTCTTCTCCATTCGAAACTACAATTTGGAACGAGCACCTAGCTTCACTGACGAACAGACTGACAGACTACTATTCTATTTTGACGTTTCAAAAGTACCTTTTTATGGTTTAGTTGAAA